GTCTGGTGGTTCTTGAATAGAATTGATTTGGTTATGTATTTGATTAATTTACTTTGATTCGATAATGTTCCATTTGCTTTTATTTAGCTAGATTCAGTTTGTTTGAATTTGATTCAATTATAGATCTGATTAATACGCTTTGACTCAATAACGCTGAATTCGATTTTGTTTTGATTTGATTCAAGCACTGGTTCTAAAATAAAATTGATTCTGTTATATATTTGATTCTTTAATTCGATTTGCCTTATTTGATGCGTTCAATTCGATTATATTTATCATTTTATTTAAAGACTCAGTTTTATTTGAACGTTTTAAAAAAGAATGCTAAAAAACAATACTTAAAGGGATAGTTCACCCAAAAATTTAAATTCTGTCATGAATTACCCATCTACATGTTATTTTTCCAAACCCCTAAGTCCTTCTTTCATCTTCAAAACACAAATTAAGAAATCCAAGAGCTTACTGACCCTCCATAGACATCTTAGGCTACATTTACACTAGTGCGTTTTTGTTTTAAAACGCATAACTTTTGCTACGGTTACGCCTATCGTTTACACTACTCCGGCGTTTTCGACCCTGAAAAATGGAGACTTTAGAAAATGCTGCAGACCCTGTTTTAGTTTGAAAACGCCGGGGTTGCATTTCAGTGTAAACGGTGCAAAACGGAGACTTTTGAAAACGATGGCGTTGCTGCCCACATTCGCTCTGCGTATCCTTGACGACCGTGTAAACGATAACATCATGCTCATAGTTGTATATGTATAGGTAGATTCCCCATTCGACGGCTCCAAGCACACAGACGCATCCGCAATCTAAATAATAGGGCATCTACCTCTACATATCTATGGTTGTACCTGCATAAATGGTCATGTGACAAGCGTTTTCGGCTGTGTAGTGTAGACGGAGATCGTTTCTGAAACGCAGTGAAAACGCCAGTGTAGACAAGGTTTTAAAATGAAAATGCACTAATGTAAACAGGGCCTTAATTTGTGTTCCGAAGATGAACAATTATGTTCATAATTATTTGTGTTCCGAAGGTGAGTAATGAATGACAGAATTTTCATTTTAGGGCGAACTGTCCCTTTAACATGGGAAGTAAGGCAACAACTCAACGGACAAAAAAGCAATTCCTTCACAAATCACTTTTAAGATCTATTGAATCAATGAATTGAATGAATCTATTGGATTTTGTGTGGGTTTGGCTCGACTGTAGAGTGAGTGTATGTGCAATAGGCAATTACGTACCCAACTACTACCCATCACGCCACTTTACTATGCTCAAATTAAATGAGGACTTACCTCATGCTTCCCTGTCTCCTCTTTCCACACTGTCCGTCTACTCACAACATACCATCGTCTAGGTCATTATAGTGAAATATGATGAGGCCTGGATCTGCCCTCATGAAATTTCAATAAGAATTGATCTCTGTGATTGCAAGAGATTCTTCTCAGAGAGCGAGGGATAGAAATAAGTGATACGCACAGGGTGGGGGTATATTTGCTCATTAATTTATTGTCAATGATGTTCATATCAGTGGGACAGTATCAGCCAATAGTTTTGTGCTGACAGCTCACAGATGTTGCGGCAGTGGCACTATTCATCGATCCTGCTTTCTCTTTGTGGACGCTAGTAGACAATGTTTGCAGAGGCTCATGATAATCTCTGTTTGGTTTGGTTAACATCCAAATTTCTTACAAATCCATTAAGTTCAGATATATTAGACCAGGTAGATATATGATATATACTGCAGCAGATTGTTTGCCTTCACCATGCTAGCACGTTCAAACCGATATTTTTTTTAACAACTCCCTTCTGAAACATTTTAGGCCGCTAAATTAGCTAGTAGCACAGTTAGATACTTCTCTCACTTAGGCTATTTTTGGCTATTTAACCGCTAAAGTTACCAAGGGAGAGCTATAAACCAACATCCCTTTGCAAATTGATGCCATGTGGTATTAATACGAGGAAAACAATAAAACAGTTTGAAGAAGTGGAGTTAGGCCAAGCTATAAATACTAACCGTGTGGTTAGCACTTGTTTCGCATGTAGTGAATACTGCACTTGACTACAGTGAAAAGTTAGGCCAACAACAATCCCACTTCCCCATTTTGGGAAGAGAACTTTTCGTACAGTAGAGATATTTAAATAGTTGAAGAGCTTCATTCTCCTTCTCTCGAGTTTGTTCCTTGTTAGACACTTGAAGGATTCTTTCCTCTTTAGAAACTGACTTTATATGTCTCAATGCCCTTGATATCTTTGTGTTCTTTTAAGTGAGTGTTAGAGGATGTGGTGACCAAATCAAAAAGTATATCAAATTGGAAACTCATATACTCTTGAGGGACACAATGACCCGCAGTATCAGCCTGTGTTGAAAGTGGACGAAAGGTTCTTTCATAAGAAACAGCTTCTTCAAAAACACAGTTTGGACTAGGGTTATTTTTCTAAAGGCGTTTGGAACGTGACTCAAGAAATATTGTGGTTTAAGAATGCATGATTGCCATTGTATGTACAGTATGCATGTATGTATGTATTTAGTGATACTACTTTAGTGTCACTTCATACATATGATCATTTATTTATTTATTTATTTTAATGAGCAGGCACACAGTGACCCCACAAGTTTGAAAGTCACACTTAAAAATGCTGGATATTTATTTATTAATGCATAATTTGATGAATAAGTGTCACAAAAAGTTTTAATATAAAATAATATAATATACATTGAAAAAAAAAATAATTAATGCAATTATTCAATAATTCAATAATGCATGTAATTCAATAATTACATGCATCTCTTGGTGCATATTATCATATATTTAATAAATTATTTCTATTGAATAAAGTATTTAAATAATATAATATAATATAATATAATATAATATAATATAATATAATATAATATATGTTTGTGATTGACGTCATTGTTGCTATTGTTTGTTTAAGTTATTACAAAATGGGGTTATATTATATTATATTATATTATATTGCATTACATTTATCTACTGTAGTTGTTCATGCACAATTAATCATAAATACATTGCTTGACATTTCTAACTCTTTTGGTGTAGTGGCCCACAAAAAGTGTTTGAATACACAATCACACTTTAAAATGCATGAATGACATTAGATTAGATGCAAAATATTATTTCATTGTGATTGGTACCAAGATATCAATTCATTAAGACAATTCCTAGTGAAAAACAAATCCTAATGTTTTATCTTTCTCCACACATCTTGAGAACCCATTTGTACCCGCACCTCTCTCTCTCTCTCTCTCTCTCTCTCTCTCTCTGCCTCTCTGTCGACCTCTGGGCCTCTCGGTAAGTGAATGCTTTCCCTAGGCTGAGTGAGAGGATTGGATACAATGTAGAAATCAATGGCAATAAGAGAGGAGTGAAGTGCTCCTGACACATACAAGCATGTGAATGTGTTTGAGAGCGCACTGACTCATCCATCTCCATATCACTTTATTAACAGATGCCCGCACACAGAAATACACACACACGCCAACTTTCTTTCTCCTTCATCCAGACAGGTTTTTAGATTAATTAGATATTATCAACCAACATTTCCGAGGAACTGTATAACGAAAGGTCATTTATTGCTGTAATAACTGTGAACAGCAGCACTTCATTACATCATTATATGTTATATAACCTATATAACCTACATGTTCTTAATTGCCAGGCGCTAACTTCAATATAACTTAAACAGAATTTACAGTATCTTAACCATCTGCTCCAACCGACAGGAAAGTACCTACGTTTCATGCCCCAGCAGCCCCTAACACTCCCTCACACTCAAACTGTCCAAACCACTCTCTCTTTCTCTCTTCCTCTTTTCTCTCTTTCTTCTCACACATCCATCCTTCAACAGCCTTGGGACCAGACACTCATGTTATGTATGAACGTTTTGAAATACATACATATTTTGGGCTTAATCAGATGCCATTTTTGGATCCCATGAACACTGAACCACATGCTAACCAAAACACAGAGGACAGCAAACAACTTGGCACCTGTAAAACACAAGCTGTTATGAATATAAGACGAATATAGGATGACTCTGTAACATCTTTCATGTAATGTTCCACTGTATGTTACAGTAAATGCTTTGCACAATGAAAAAGTAATTTTTGCTATTTATTTATTAGATTTAATAAAGAATTTAAGATATAATATAATATAGTAAATATTAATGTAATATAATATAATATAATATTAATAATAACAAAATATCATATTTATTAATATACAATTTTAAATATGAATTTATATAATTATTTTATCCTTTTTTTTATATAATTAATATATTT